CTGCGTAATAATGAAATGCATTCAGGATTAAGTCTTGAATCCGGCAAGATGGAGACATGCACAGGAAGATATCGAGTCAGTGTGACATAAGCATACTCTGCTTGGGATTTATTCCATTTCAAAAGCTTTTCAGTCATTTCACAAATTAACTTTTGCTGCAGGATAAGATGAAAATAAAACAGCTTTCATTTGTAACTCAAGCTGATACAATAATTTTTAGAACCATATCCAGCACCAATAGGACATTTGAATTTTCTTTGGCAGCAAAATTAAACAGGTTTCTACGGAAAAGGTTGCATAAATTTAACATCATCGTACAAATATACTGTGTGCCCTTTTATATAATGTACCAGTGATGTGCAATGGACCTATCATCAGAAAAAAACACTAGAAATGTATCCCATGTTAAATTTCAGATACATTTTAATCTCACAGATTTGTAAAACAAGCAGGAATTACTAAGTACATTGAATGAGCCCAGCCATTCAGTACATGAACTGCAGAGGGCACTGTTGCAGGTGGACCATTGCTTCAGATCATCATAGCGTCAGTCAGTGATGACAGCAATACAGGAGAGCATGCTGTCGCATCTGTTTCACAACTCCTGATTGTCCGTGTCCTCAGTGCTGCTGCTATGAGGCATTTTCCCTCCTTTTCTCTTTGTCCTCATCCCTGTCCTCATCCCTGTCCTCATCCTCTTCGCTATCGTCCTCCTCACTTTCACTGTAGTGATAGTTACAGCGGTTAGTGTTTACAAAGAGGTCGCTATCGTCATCTTCAGAATCACTAGCATCCTCGTCCTTTTCCAGTTCTTTCTTTGTCTTATCCGGCGTCGAATGCTCGTCCATAAAGCCCTCTGGCCTGGAGACAAGAAAAAATGTAAAAAGTGCAAAACATGTGACAAATGAGGCTGATCGAGGAACGTAAAGGTTGTGCAGTGTGTTCCCACCTACCAGAGGTTCTGTTTTTGTAGGTATTGAATGTGATCCTTGTAGAGAATAAAGCTGATTTCTGCCTTCACCTTCTCTCCTTCTTCAATAGGATCCACAATCACATAGTCACCTTTGGAGTGAGAAGACGAAATTTAAATGAATGAACACAAATGGGGGTCTTATTTAGACCAGTACTAGCTAGCGGGAGATCACATTACTAACTTATATGTTTGCACTACAATATATATTATTCTTTTGTTTTGAAAAGGCAATGAACACCATGACAACGAGGTTCACTGTACTGTATACTGTACTGATAAGTCTGCACATCCTCCAGCAAGTAAGGTGCAGTGAAATATAAAAAGTGTAAACTAACTGGTATGCCCACAAAAAGCACCCCAATTTTGTTGTGGGCAGCAGCACAGACGATGCAGCATGAACGTCTGTGCCACAAGCCACTAAAAATAATATTTGCCACCAGCTGTCACTGGATTATTACTCGAAGTTTTAAACACGTAACTTCCCTTTCCATTGCTTACCTCTCTTGATCCAGATGTTCTTGCGGAACTTGGTGGGCATGCTCACCAAGAAGGTCTCACCCTGAGCTGTGACAGCATCATGTAGGTTGTTACCACGGCTCCCAGTTACCTGTAAAAGTGAAGAAACAGAGGAAACATGGAATCGGAAAAACAGCCACTTTATGAGGTGCACTTGTTCAACTGCTCGTTAATGTAAAATGTTGCAGAGGATGGTCAATGGACTTAGGTGTGTGAAAATGGTCAAGACAACCTGCGGAAGTTAAAACTGAGCATCACAATGGGGAAGAAGAGCGATTTAAGTGACACTGAATGTGGCATGGTTGTTGGTGTCGGCAAGCTGGTCTAAATATTTTCAGAAACTGCTGATGTGAGACACAATTATCTCTACATTTTACAGAGAATAGTTAAATATTCAATTCAATTCAATTCAATTCAATTTTATTTATATAGCGCCAAATCACAACAAAAGTCGCCTCAAGGCGCTTCATAGATACAGAG